GCTGGGACCTTTTTATCTTGTTTTTTTTTGGACGTTATTGCGACCAGATACATCCACGTCCGGTCGTAATTGCGGTCAGATTCATTCAAGATGGTGCAAGTGTGAAGTACGCGCTCAGCGCTCAGTCTACGGTCCTCAAATCACTGAGATTTACACGCAAAACGATGCTCAAAATGAGCTTTATGATTTCACAAGCAAATCAGAGAGACGTTACTCAAAGCAATAAAATTAAAAAAAAAAAAAAAAAAAAAAGGTAGAGTCCCTCTGGGTATGGCTAGTACCTTGACCGGTTTCGACGGCTGCCACGCGGTCTTCCTCAAGAATGGACCTGATCGATAACGGAAATGACCATTTAATTGAATTTAAAAAAAAAAAAGAAAAAAAAAAAAAAACGAGGAAAGAAACAGCACGCGGATCACTGAGCTGTGTCCGTGATGATTTTTTTTTTTTTCCCCAATAAAAAAACAAAAAGGGATGATAGCTGTGCGGTGTCATCCCTTTTTTTTTTTCCCCCGTAATCGTATTCGACACAATTTGACACCGCACAGGTATTCATTAACAATCTTATTGGTTGTAATCGTTATATTTTGAACGCAATGAAAATTAAAGAAATTTTATTTAAAATATTCTGTTTATCTTCTTCATCATCTTCTTCTTCTTTTTTTTTTAATCAGGGCCGAGTTTCCAAGGCAATACCCAAAGTCACAACAAAAGTTAGGGCCACTTGGCCCTGATTAAAACAAAAAATAAAATAAAATAAAAAAATGTAGTCAGATGACTCTGTACCGTCAGCGGAGCACAGAGCACCGGCCTTCTAGCCACTTCAATGAACTTTCTGTCTATCTTCTTCTTCTTCTTCTTTTTCCATTTTTTTTTCTTTTTTTTTTTGTTAATCAGGGCCCAGTGCCGAAGTCAATACACAAAGTAACCAAGGGTGTGGTCCCATTAGCAGTCGGATAGGAATGTGGCCGACCCAGTGTGACACTGAGTGGCAGCGGCGTGACAGGTTGATTACGAATTTCTGGGGGGGAAAACTGGAGAAAAGCAAAAAAAGAAGAAAAGAAACCGAGACCTCCCACCTGAAATCACGGCACAGTGCTTCCCAGCCATCAGATCACAAATGATCTAATGGTGGTGATTGCAACAACAGTGAACAACATAACGGCCACATTTGTTTCTGGAATAAACTCGACTTCTGTCAGGAGTGATCCTGACTCCCTCCATATACTCCGTGATTGAAGGAGGGCTCCACCCAATGAGATAATTGCGCAACAGCAAGCAAAATGCTGAAAATCTTCTATCCAGTGGGCCTATGGCCGACCCCACTCTCTTTTGGGGTTGGCCATGCCCCCAACCGATTGAAAAGATTCTGGCGGGAAGCTGTCTTTGCACGGGCATGCCCAGTGTTAAGGAGAGGAGGAGGGGAAAGAAGATCTCCTTACTTTTTCGGGTAATACATGTAAAATACTTACCGTGGGATCACTGGCGAGTACTGCACGGCAGGATTTGGGTCACACTACTGCCACACAAACTCTTTCCTATCCTATCCGGTTGCTAGTGGGACCATGCCCCAAGTTAGGGGCACTCGACCCTGATTAAAAAAAAGGTAAAAAAAATAGCACAGAGCGGAGCACAGAGCTCGACCCTGATTTAAGAAAAGGAAAAAAAAATAGCACAGAGCGGAGCACAGCGCGGGCCAAGTTCCACTGACGTGTTCACCCGAATAGAACGCCGGGTACAGCTATAATGACCGGCCGTTTTATTCGGCTGAAGACTGTAGTGGTCAGAAGAGTATAGGAATGCGGACCGCACACACGCTTTTAAGCCGCCGCAGATAACATTTCTATACTCTTCTGAGCGCTACCTAGTACCTTTATTGCGGCTCAAAAGCGCGTGTGCGGGGCAACAAGATTACGACCGTCCGATCCTTGTGTGCGGTCCGCATTCCTACTCTCTTCTGACTGCTACCTATGTAGGGATCGGACGGTCGGAATTTTGTTGCCGTGCGAAGAATAGGACTGTAGATTTTTTTTTATTTTTTTTTTAATTTTTTTTTAAATCTCTGCTTGGTATTAAAAGGGACTGTAGATCTTTCTCACACTCTCACTGGCCATCAACTGTGTTAGGTATTCTTTCTCATCCTTGGAGGGGGGATTTTCATTCCTGCCCGGTCTTTTGCTGGGTCAGGAACGAAAACCGCTTCGGAAATCGGTAAGGAGAGAAAAAAAAAAAAAAAAAAAAAAAAAAGAA